GGACCAGTGTCAATGCGCATGCGGAAGAGTTGCGCAAGTACTTTGTCCCACATGAAGGCCAAAAAGACCTCGCCGTGGAAACGGTTGGGTCTCGGCTCTCCATTGACTACGGGAAACTCGCGCGCACAATGACCCGTCTCATACAAAAGAATGTGAGTCGTTCGCCTTTCGAAGACACCATCTACTCACTGTCGACGTTCATTCGCAGCTTGTCGACAGCACGTAAGTGAATTGGATCCTGCCTGACTTTTCCACTACGACGTCCAAAGACACCACGATCTGTTCGGTGCTCTGAATGTCGACTCTGAAAGAGCAAGTAAACCCCCGGGTCTCTCAACCTGCAATCATTCACTTCTATACCCTCTCAGATACTTCCGGCACATCTTCAGAGCAATATGCGGCATTCCATCTGTCACCTTGGAGGGCACGAAAGCCGACTGGCAATGCATCCTCGACAGGCTCGATCGGCTGCACGAGCTCGGAGACGAGCCCTCCATCTGGGCGGGGATGCTCCGCCCGATCCTGCGTCGCTTCGTGTCCGCGTTCGACGGCGAGCCGGACGTCACGTTCTGGTCGCACGTCGTGCATTGGCTGCATGTGGGTTGCGGGGAGGCCGCGATCAGCGGGTGGCTGACCGCGTTCTGTGTGTGGTCGGCGAAGGGGAAGTGGCAGGGACGTACTCGGGAGTACCATGTGCCGCGTGAACCCCATCATGAGCGAATCAAACGACGTTTGGGGTCGTCTGCAGCAGGTGCAGAGGTGGGTTCATGGCGTCCTTGATCACCAATTGCAAGGCTAACCTCGAGAATCAGCGGAACGCATCCCAAGGGCTGCTGAGGGCGCCTTTTTGAGCAGCGCGTTTGAGACGAAGGGCTGTGCGTTGGTTTCCATGCTATCCCAATGCTCCTCGCCGCACAGCGTACAGTTCTGCGGAGGACACCCTGGACGGTATCCGTTACCCGACCATCGAAGAGAGCTCATTCCCGCCGGATACTGCGAGGTGGACGTTATCGTCAATGACAACGGGACCGTGTTCGACTGCATGATGGTCGCGGGACACCTGGCGATCGCGGCGACGGCGAGTCAACCGGGGGGCGGGCTTGACACGTTGGCTCCGGCACCGCAGTGGTTCATCTTCGAGAAGCCCGAGCTTTCTCGAAGAGCAATGCTTAATGTTCCCACCTTGGACTGTGCTCATCTCGACGACCTGCTTTGAGCCCGGAATTCCTCCCAGTAAAGTGACTTACTCGATCACGAGCGCGGTGCAAATGTGATGCTTTGTGAGCGGTAGGACTCTCCAACATGAGTGATGGCAGTTGCCTATTCTCAGAGGGCAAACAGGATGAGAAAGTGGGCGGATTTGCACCAAGAGAATACAATGTACAGTGCATTGATACGATTGTAGCATGCGCCGCGTTGAAGCGCTGCAGGCGCGTCGCGTCGCGATCACGTGTGCGCGACGCGCGCCTCTCCACCGCGTCCTGACTACCTCATCGGAGCGTGCACGGATGACGTCGATGCGTGCGCTCGGCACTCCTCCTGTTCCCCCGTGCGCCATGTCGCATCATCGACGTACCCGACAGCGCGGCGCCATATATGACCGCACCTCGTCATCGCTCGTGCTCGCACATAGCTCTCATTCGTAACGTTCACGACTCGACTCTCGACCTCGACCACACGACTCCTTTCTTGCTTCGTTTTCAACTCCATTCTGATCACTGCGAACACGATGTCCGACGCTCAGAAAGGTGTACAGCAGGCCGTGCGGAGCAACAACAGGGTACGTCTCGCCCACGATGTCGCTGCGTGCGCTCGACAGAGGGCTCACATCCGCATATCAGCTCCTAGTGGGTGGTGTAGCCGCAGTCACAGCAGGACTCGGCCTCTTCTGGTACGCGCAGAAATCGTACCAGGCGAAGAAGGAGACGACCCCTAACCCCGGCGCTCTACCAACATGTACGTCCCTCCCTTCACATTCTCCCTCTGCCTCAATTGCGGGTGCTTACGACGGTTGTGTTTGCAGGGGAGTACCGGATGGGACAGGAGCAGCTGCCGGCATCGAACCCGGACCAGCACCTCACCCAGCGCTCGTCCAAGACGGAGATCCCGACCAAGCCCGAGAGCGTGCCCACGCGGAGCAACGACGATCAGAGTGGCAGCCAGGGCCCGGCGTCGTCGTACCTCACTGCGGTACAGGTGAGCACCTTGCCATCCTTCGCGCCGGGTGAGAGGGCTGACCCATGGCCATGCAGGGCAAAGCGACGGACGAATACCAGAGCCCGAAGAGCGAGCCGACGCCGCAGAGGGAGAAGGAGCCGGGCTCCGAGATCGCGTCGAAGGTACGTGGAAAGCAGATCTCGCGTCGCCGGTCGGTTCTGTTGCTCACGGGTGTACGCCAATAGCACCGTCAAGGCCCCGAGTACGATCGCCAGCGGCATGGTTCAGACAAGAACTGAGTTGGCGGTTGGAGCAACGTGAACCTGACGCTTGTACGATATATCTACGGATGGACGCTCTTTTGACGGTGTGCTAGATCTAACAAGTAATGCTTGATTTGTTCGATTTGGAGCAAGTATCGTGCCACTCAACCTGCTGTACGGATCATGGGGTATGACCAGCCCGCCTGCATGGTGACCCTGGGCTAGCCAGCCTGTCTGACGAACATAAACCAGTACGTTGCTCTTCAGTATATATGTTGCCTGTCGTCGTCGGCTGCCACGGCCTAGGCTAGGAGTCGGTATCTTGCAGACGCTGAGCCGAAGCGTTGGATGATGTCAGCTGGACCGACTTCTCGACGGCGGCTGTGATATGTACGCCCATCCTACCATCGCCGCCGCCCAGTATGGCAAGACGCCTACCGAAAGCGTCCTCCCATGGTTCGCCGTAGCAGACGCGTCACGGACGATCGATGCCTCCCCCGCTGTCAGGCGCAGCAGGCAGCCTCATAAACAACCACACCTGCGCACCGCTATGTTCGGATTGCCGCCTCTTCCTCGCAGTACCATCCTCCTACCCCACGCACTCGCCTTCCTCTGAACCACACACGATGAGCTCGCAATTCGACCATGCAGCCAAGGGTGCCTCGGGTAGACCGAACGCCCCTATGCATATTGCCGGCCAAGGTGGCCGCCCGAGAGTTCGTTCATCCTCATTGTCTATCCACTTCAACGTCGTTCGAGCGCGCTGACCGATGTCCTCTCGCAGACTGTTATCCTAGGCGTGGCTGCGGTCGCACTGGGCTTCTACGGCTTCTGGCGGCTCCAGTTCTACAAGCAGGACAGGCGACACACCGGACCCGACCCCGCCGAGATGCCAACCTGTACGTACCTGCCCGTCCCACTGGTTGCACATCAACCTGATCACGTACCTCTCGCCTATGTCAGGGCAATTCCGCCACGCTCAGCAGGCCCCCGAGTTCAACGAGCGCATGAGCTCCCCTGGCGGGGCGGGCACGAACCTCCACCCGCGCGGCTCGAGCGCGCAGGCGCCTGGCGGGGCGACGTACCTCCACGCGAAGCCCGTCGGCGGAGATGGCGAGGGCGGGGGTGCCGCGTCAAGCGGGATGGTCGGCGTCGGCTCGCGCGATGGGAGTCGCCGGGGTCTTGAGAGCGGGGGCGCGAACGAGCGCGGTGGCGAGAGCACCAACAGCAACGGACACACTGGTGGCGGCGCGGGGAACACCATGAAGTCGTCGGGGCGGGACGCGGGCCCGGACGACCCGAGGGGAAAGGATAACCATGCGCAGAGGCGCGGAGACTCCGGAGAGGAGAGCCATCCTATGAGGAACGCAGTCGCGACGGTCATGACGGCCCTGCATGTGAGTCCACAGTTCATGTCGTTCGGAGTTGTAAAGACTTATCACGATGATGCGCTTTAGGGCGACCCGCACGAGGCGAACCAGAACTCGAACGGCCATGTTGGTGAGCCGGCGGCGCCAAGGCGGCTGAATGACCGGGGCGGTATCTACACCAAGGTATGTATCAGTGCGGGTACATCGTCGAGCCGTGTCCCATTGACTCCATGCAGAACTCGGACTACAAGGACAGTTACCGCAGGGATTGAGGGATGTATCGGCGACGGAGTTTAGAATTGGAGGGAGGGCTTGTGATCGTGTTCGCAGAGCCTGCTCTTGTATAATCTTGTATCCACCCCTGTTCCTGCGTATATCGTCCAGATCCATGATTTCATATACGTCGCAGTTGCTTGACACAACGTGGATGAAGGGAACAGGTACGTGCGTTAGTTCACGGAACAAAACACTGCACTGCGCGCCGACACGGTCAAAGTGCCAGTGCGAATGGGCAACTATACACGATGGTGATTCAGCCAGCTATCCCATCAGCAGACTTTGAACGAGTAGGTCTGGAGACCACATCGGTATATGTCTCCAAATGCATCAACAAGTCGAGCTAGGAAGGAGGATCGTCGCGAGGAACGGGTCTATTTAGGATTACCGCCCCTTGACCGTTCATTCAATAGTACGAGCCGTCCAGCAGGGATAGTACTGGGACTCGCGAGGCCCCCGCGCAAGCACATCTGGGTTGCCTCATTGTGGAATATGACGGGAAGGGTCGAGATGTGTCGAGAAGCTCTAGGGAGGATGGGTATGTTCTGCCATGCCAGTGGTCGACAGTGCAAGAGAGAAGAAACCGCGACCACGTTGTGATCAGATACGACATGCTCGTTTGATACCCGGTGATAACAGCAACTTGACGCAGTGGAAGCGTGCAGGGCTCATAACCCTGAAGTCCCTGGATCGAAACCAGGAGTTGCTATTGCTATGTGAGCTTTCATCGATAGACTTTTGTCTCGACGTCCACTTTGTTGTAGTACCACTTCGCATCAACCTGCGTCATATACATCGCGTACCCGCCGCTTCTAATGCTTGGTTTTCTTTCTTGGCAACGGATATACGTCGCGACAGTCGCGTAGTTACAATCATTACATGTGAGTTACCGGACGCTACGCACATTACGTCTTGTGGGCAATTACCTGATAGAGGTGCTATAGTGTAGTGGTTATCACTCGGGATTTTGAACCTGACTTTCCCGAAACCCAGGTTCGAACCCTGGTAGCACCTGTGCAGCTTTTCGAGACCGTTGTGAGGATCGCGACCGACTGGTAATATAGCGGTTTTTTTTTGTTTTCGCTACATTGCCTATTTGCTATTCCTTCCACTGAGTCACAACACTGACAGACATTGGAGCCAAAACACCATGCAAGTATACAGAATGGCATCATTTGAGCACGACAGTAGGCCCGGGGAACGTTTGCTAGTAAGTAGGAAGGTACCAGTATACTTGATGTCCATGAGTAAGACCTCGAGTGACCATAGTGAGAACGAATGGATGATGCGATGAGTAAATGCTACATCGAGGAGATTCCGGGTGAAAGGGGGGAGAGAGCGGGTGTGCACTGGGACCATTGGAGGCAGTACCGAGAGTCCGACACAGAGGACCGCGGATGTGTACTATTAGTCTAAAAAGGGGTGCAGGAAAGCGGAGAAAATATAGGGTGTGCTGGGCGATGAGCATGGGAGAATACCGGATCAATTAGTCTAGGGGTTCTGCACGGCGCCCGACGGGGCGTGTAGAATAGGTAGTAGCACTATGTGGAAACAGAGACGAACGAGAGAGAGCGTGGACAGCCGAAGGCTCGGAAACTGGGTGAAGGGTGACCGGAAGAGCGTGCTCGAAAGCGCGAAGGTCCTCCGAAGGGCTCCGCGTACTGTACAAGAAGGTCCGAGCTGTGGCTTCTCCGCGAGTTGCCGCGGCCCGAGAATCCCATTGTGTGAATGGAGGAAGGGCGAATGGTAAGATGAATGCCGAGGGGCGCGCATAGGAACCGATAGTCTTTCCGCAGTGCGAGATCTGGCGGAAGGGGCATCAGTCAGACACCGTCTCCCCCCTCTCACGCCGTCAGGGCGGCTTTCCAGGCCGAGTACTAACCGAGGCTGACAATGACAATGAGGCTCGCGAGCCGCCACCATCATGGACGGCGGTCTACTTGCGACGCGGGAGAAGCGCGACGGACAGCTCCGAGCGCACTTTGCGGCCGGCTCGGCCGAAGTAGCGCTCGGTCTCGAACGACCAGACGAGGTTGCCTATCATCCAGTCGCCGAGGCCGTCGACGTACACCTGCAGCTGCTCGTCGATCTCGGGACCCCACGAGGGGAGGGCGTGCCGCAGCGCTTCGAAGCGGTCAATACATCCAACGCAGAGCTCTCCCACGTAATCCACGGCAGCCTGGAGGTCAAGCTTCTCCTGGGTCTGCACGACCACGATCATGTTGTGCGTATCGCCTGGGGCAATGCGTGGCAAACTCATGAGCACACGATCCGAGCTAATCATGGGGAAGTACCGAGGGCACGTACCGTTTGCCTGTTCCACGTTGTAGGAGAAGATGTCCTGAAGCGGTAGGCCTAGAATCAGTACTGGTGGGAAGTTCGGCGAACGGCGAAGAAGACGTACGTTTGACCACTGATAGGGCACGCGAAGCTCGATCAGCACACGTTCCGGGGACATAGCAGATAAACGTACCGTTACCAGATCGTTCGCAGCTTCTTCCAGGCCACGCACGCAAGGGTGTTCCATAACCCAGTCAGGCAAGTCCAGCTGGCCAGGCCCATGAGCTAAGTATACCGATGACAGAGTATGAATGGAACAGGCTTACGTCGTTGGCGTACTCAATTAGGGCCCAACATGGCTTGCACCCACTGGTGTCGCGCCGCATGGCGATGTAAGACTCGAGGTCGGGGATATTCCCCGACTCGCGGTCGCGCGCCTGCTGCGCGACCGCGTGAAAGAAGAGCTCGAAGGTCTCGATGAACCTCCTCTGGGCACCGGCAGACGCCTTGGAAGATAGCCGACGCCAGAAGCTGCGTGGGACACGCCTCGGGAGTCAGCGTCACGTCTCAATGGGGCCCGGCACACGAGGTTACTCACCTTTTCGTGAGCCTTCCTACTGCGGACGAGGGCCGGAAGCCGTGCGGATCGCGCAGCGCGCCGATGATTTCGCTCGCTGTGCTGACGGTCGCGTGGTCGTCCATCTCGTCGCAGATGTTGTCGAGGTGGAAGAGGTAGTTGATCCAGTCGCAGCAGACGCGGAACTGCTCGTAGTCGGCGAGAGGGTAGCACATCGCGGTGAGCAGGCCGCCCTTGAGCCCGTGGAAGGCGGCGCGCTTCTTCTTGCTGAGCTTGCATCCTGACATGAGCCAAGCTTTCGACTCTGCCGACGCACGCTCGCAATGCGGGTTATAGCGGAGGGGATAGGGACAACGGGAGATGAGGTCGGGGAAGTATATCCTCGGTGAGCGACGGCGGTGAGCCACGACGGTCATTTGTCGGTCAATGAGTGGCAGTGAATGGGCGAAGTGGAGGGAGTCTGGATTCACGAGCGCGACATTGTACGGTCGGGAAGTGTCCGTTTTTAAGCATACCGCGTCCAGGGCGGTGTACTCCAGGGTGACGTTCGGGACTCCTCAAAAAATACCGTTGCAAAATTGGGGAGGATTCGGTTGGCAAAAGGGCCGCGCCGCGGTGGGACTTCGAAGCGACGGGGAAAATTGCGGGTGACCAGCTGGGAGGAGTATTTCTCGGCGTTAGATCTCTCGGTGGCGTTTCAGATCCCGAGTTCGCAGAAGGGTCGGCTACGGCGCGCTGGGAGGCGCAGCGGTCGGGAGGAGTTGCGCACAACAATAAGCTCGGACGGCGCACGGGAAATTGCAGGCGCATGAGCTTCCGAGGTACGGCAGTCCGAGTGAGTCAATGTCAAGGTCTGTCAGACAAGCGGCCGCAACTGTGTGAGCATCCAGCGAAGGCACTCCTGCAGAGATGCTCGCTACTCACAACGGCTGGGAACTTGAAGTCCTCATTGATCGAAGGGCCCCGAGAAGCCTTATGCTAAGGCTTGTGCTTCCCGTGTAGTACCCGTCTACGCCTTGGCAATTAGTGTCCAGTGAGCCTCGGTGCAGGCGTGCCAGCGTTCTTCCTGCGCCCGGTAGCAATATGTCGCGCAGGGAGAGCCAGAATAGCCTACCCACGGCCGCCCGCTCAAACGGGTATGTTCGGCAGCTTACCCAGGAACATGGAAACGCCCGCGAGGTTGTACGTACAGTACAGCCTCAGAGCTTGGGAGATCACGGACGAAATGAGCGTCGGAGATCTCCATCGCCCAGATCTACGCTTAGCATGGCATCTGGAGTGACGGGTGCTTAAAGACTCGACTGATGACCGAGGAAAATGCAGGGTCGGTTCGCCTTGGATTCCCGCCAATTGCATTGCACGAAAACGCTCCGAGCCTGCGACGCCGCCCCACTCGAGCTGGTGCACATACCTTGGCGAGTCTGCGTTGTGGGCAGAGACAATCACACTGTATACCAAAGGACGCCTGCCTAAGCACTGTGGCAAGGCCGCCACCTTCAATTGATCTCACGCGCAACTTGGCTGCGGTCGCTTGCAATGGAGAATGTGACGCAGTTGGTAGACCGTAGGGCGGTTCCTGACGGCGTTGCCACGATAATTAGAAGCCGGCGTGCCCGGTGGTGATAGCGCGCATGAGCGGGATGCCGCGGTCCGCGCTATGCTTGACATTACGTTGTGCGCGAGGAACCATCTTACGCAGACTGGCCCATCAATGACTCCCAACGGCATAGGAGATGAGAGCAATATTGCAAGGCCGTTACGATCGGCTGAGAGCAGGTGGGTGTGAGCGAGACGGATGCTTGGGTTATTTCTGAGCATAAGACGCTGCATGCAGCAGCCCATAGTCAGCGGACGGTCTTTGCGCACCGCTGAGGAGACTCGGACCTGGAGACTTCACCACTATAAATACTGTGGCGGAGGACTTTAAGAAGGCCCTATCGACGAGGCCGTCCCGATAGGCTGTGCTGTAGGCGAATTTGGATTCTACCGCTATCTCCACCTTGTATTTGATGACTGAACAAAATGGGCGCATGACGGCGGCGAACCTCCTGCGGGAACGAATGGTGCGGCTCCGGAATGTCGGAATTTCGGTCGTAGCAACGCCGCAGGGCAGGTCAGAAATGGGTGCCGATACTCCTGCCAAGCTTCCGTCGTTTCGGGGTCAGATGCCAGTGTGAAGGATGGTTGAAACGCGACACGGAGATCTTGCTGAAGCTCGAGCATCTCACGCCCCGCAGGAGGGTGGCGGTCTTGGCGATGGTATACGGCTGCCTTCACAGGAGTGAGATCGTTGGCCGACGGCAGCGGCCAGGATCAATCTGCCAATGGGGCGCCACAGCTCGGATAAACTAGGGGGGAGGGGTTTATGGGCGCATTTGCAACCGACGCTCGGTGTTGCAGACCTATCCTTCACGGGTCGAAAGGCATACCAACGCCAGCTGTCCTCCTGTATCATGGTGTTCAGCCTATCGCTGTTAAGATCACGTAAATGACGAAGACTCACCTAGACCATCATCGCCCGTTGAGAGAAGGCATGATGCGGAGTTCCCTCGGGTTAGGTTGGCTATGCACTGCATAATGCAGCTATGGCTTGGAGTACTCAGGAGGTCACTGCGTGAACAGTCGAGGTCAAACGGACCTCGTCCGTTCTTCCTTGCTTCAGCTCCTAGCTCGGCTGGGTAACTTAGTGGTTGATCGGCCACCGCCTGGAATTTCAGCGGTAGGTCCAACTGTTAGCGGGAACTTGAAGTCATAATGCGAGGCTAAACATGACCAAGAGCTCAAACGTTACTGCGCATTCGGTCAACAGAGCGGTGGAATGACAGAGCTGGGAAGAACTGGAGTAGAGTCTACGTATCACGGCAAGCATGCCCGGGTTCTAGGGACGCTCGCTGACGTGCCTTAAGACTCGTCCTACAGCTTTCGATTCAGCACAACCACGAAGGCGAGTCCACGAGGTGAGAGCCGTGGGACATACATATTACTTTACTGCGTCTCGTGTTGTGATCTGGGTGAGTGTCCATCGAGCGGGATTTACCCTGTATGCCCTAGTGGTCTGAGCCGAGAGGAGCCTGCAATGAGTCGACTCGTCGGAGGACAGAGAACAGATCGATTAGAACCGACTACGTTACATATTGCAACTCAGGTAGTAGGATAA